TTAGGTGTCTAAACAATGAGTAAATTCCAATTATGGTTTATTATAAATGAATTTTAATATTTTGGGACACAAAATGTGGGACAAAAAACTTTACCAAAATATCTGAATTGACAGACATTGTCGATGTAACTGATAATGAATTGTTTGCTATCGAAGGAAAACGAGAACAACTGATCAATAAAGTGATAAAATTGATGGCAATTATTGGATAGTTTAGTCGATATGATTCGGGTAAAGAAAATGATAGTATAATTGCTGGCCAGGGATCCATTGTATTCACATATGTCAACAATACCATCAAATATTGTTATGCGGGACTATGGTCCATACAATGAATCGGCCGTAAGTTATATCATTATAATTAGCTTAAACTATTTAAAAAATATAAAAAACATTTTGCTTAAAGTTTTTTTAAAAAATATTTTTTACTGTAGTTATTGATACATATTTAGTCTAAACCGGAACACTTGAAAACATTGTTTAATTGTTTGTCTAAAACTTCAACTATCACTACAAATACCACAACAATTACTAATACTAATACTACTTCTGCAAACACTGGCATCGGTGGTGATATTTATTGGTTGATTACATGTATACTAGTTATAGCTGTTGTAGTGGTTATGTCTAATGATAATATGCAATAAAAATACGAAATCTAACCAAATATTAGTCGACAATTGAAAATCATTGTAAATCTAATGGTTATTATATTATTGATAATAATATTTCACAAACAAATTGATAATTAATTTGATATTTTTGATTACATATTAAATCTATAGCACTGTTGTTGTTATTATTGTTGGCGATGTCGACGACAACCATCTCATCGGTGGTCGACAACAACAATGAGACTAAAGATTTTTGTGAGAAATACCAGAAAAATGATTATAAAATTGTATTTTGCCTTTTGGTCGGACAGAACAGTCGATGATAACTGGATTCATAAATATTTCATAATCGGTAACAACTGTTAGGAGTTGACCTACAATGACGGTACAGATAATAGCAAATCGGTTATTATTAGTGCTGGCTATCGGCAACAGTGCTGGCAATTATATCGTCGATATTAACTGGTTTTCGGTTAATAGTTATACATCAATGTCCTGATCTTTATATATAAAGAAAGTTATATTATATATGTCGGTGCTTTGCAGGTATACAACAAACCATTTCGATAGACATCACAAATTAGTTTTATTATTATTATTGAAATACTAGACATTTTTATATTTTAGAAAAATATGAAAACCATTAATTGAAAAGTTTATACAACACCACTCATAATGAATAATACGACAATAGATTTTGATTATGATTTTAAGCCAATATTTGTCTGGTCTTCAAAATATTATTATAAACCAATTGTAACATTTTTCGGACACAAAACGGTCGGACAAAAATCTATAACTTTACTAATATATCTGAATCGACACACATTGTCGACGTAACTGATAATGAATTGTTTGTTATCGAAGGAAAACGAGAACAACTGATCAATAAAGTGATAAAATTGATGGCAATTATTGGACAGTTTAGTCGATATGATTGGGATAAAAGAAATGATAGTGAAATTTATGGCCATATTATTGTATTCACATATGTCGACAATACTATCAAATACTGTTATGCGGGAAATCCATACAATGAGACGGCCGTACGTTATATCGTTATAGGTAATGCAGTACTGACCAGATAGGTTATTATAATGATTATTAAAATAATAATAATCTGGTCAGTACTGCATTACCTATTTGCTATCTACTGTATAGGTTTGATCCCAATCGGTGATCAACTTCTGGTCAAAACTACCGAAATACCGTTTTATCCATACATTACTAATACATACAGTTTAATACACTGTTGTAATCACGGGACGGGCCATTTGGACCCGAAGACATGTTTGTGGACAATAATGTCAAATAGACAACGTGTTGGTCATTCAAATACTGTCTATAATATGATGGTAGGATATTTGTCATTGTATTGAATATAATTAGTTATTAGTCATAAAAATCAGTTACCAGTGCCCAGTAATACAAATTAATAATAAGTACTAGTAATACTATCAACAAATAAAATAATAAAACTATATACGTATTGAATGACAAATATTGATAAATTAGATTAAATTTCAATGAAAATCGTTTCAATTGTTTCAGTTGTATTGGATATTGAAATGTTTAACTATTGATTTGCGATAACATATCCCAGTAATACAGTGTATGTTTGTATTCATGATAACTATTTAAACAAAAACCTAAATATCTGTAATACTTATAAGCGATGAAATAGAAATGTTGTATCCATTAGATAGTATGGATCACCCAATAGATCCCTAACCCATAACTATAAACTTTGTTAATATTTTTCACTAATTTTTTGTATAATATTTTTAAGTTTCTTTATTGATAAGACCTATTTAAGTAAATTTTATGCCATAAATCAAATCAATAGCTGTGACATCAATACCAATACTATACGTTTATTAGACAACTGTTTTCTTAAATAGTCGTCTATTGATTCATAAATATTTAAATAGTTATATAGTATTTGTTACAAATTTTATTGAATATATTGATTATTGAATCAAATGATTGATAACTTTTATAAATCTTTATCATTGATCTGATTATTGATGACATAATTCAAATAAAATTATAATTAAAATTAAAGTTTTATTATACTATTTTATTATTATTAATAATAATTATACTATTAATTTTATAGTTAATTTCTTATATAAAAATTATTATTTAGAAACAATTTTACTAAAAATAAAAAACATTTTTTACTAAATTCTTTATAATTAAAAAAAAATAAATTAAAATAACTAATAATAATAATAATTAATTAGTTAATTGGTGCCAAAAATACTATGGCATATATACCGGTGCTCTTTATACCAATAACTAGAACCGAGTCGCTATCACTATCAGCCATGTCCTCGTATTTGACGGCAAAGAATTGATGTCTATATTTACGATGAATTGGATTATGTTTGGCTAAATAGCTTTTGACAATTGCTTTTAGCTCTCTAACAGCTATTTGTTTGTCCTTTTAAAAGAGAGAAAGAGAAAAAAAATATTTTTAATTAATTAATTTAAAAAAAAAATTTAAAAAATACATTTTCATTTTTTCGCTGATTAAGCGCCTGAAGTAAATAATTTTTATAAATTATGGCATTTTCGTCCGATACTCTATATTGTAATAATATATCTAAATCGTGAACTAAATAAGACGGTGTACTATAATATATAAAGTGTACTATTGGTGTCAATGTTTCGCTATTAAACAAAAATAATAGATAAATAAAAATATTTAATTAATTAATTTATTTATATATATATATATATATATATATATAGAAATACATAATATACTGTATATATATAAACTTACGGTCCCTCATAATCATTTGATACTCTAACCGGAACATCATATTTCCTGGCTTTCCTATCATTCTATAATAGTAATAATATAATATAATAGTAATAGTAATAGTAATAGTAATAGTAATAGTAATAGTAATAGTAATAGTAATAGTAATAGTAATAGTAATAGTAATAGTAATAGTAATAGTAATAGTAATAGTAATAGTAATAGTAATAGTAATAGTAATAGTAATAGTAATAGTAATAGTAATAGTAATAGTAATAGTAATAGTAATAGTAATAGTAATAGTAATAGTAATAGTAATAGTAGTAGTAGTAGTAGTAGTAGTAGTAGTAATATATAAATTAATAGATAATAATTACTTTATCCGAGTCTCTATGCTTGTACTCCGTGCCATAGAAACAAATAAAACAAAAAACCATAATTAATAAGCCAACTGATCCACAAAAAATAAAAGTAAGAACAATTTGATCAAAACAACCCTATATAATAATTATTATTATTAGTAAGTTATACTGTATAACTCTATATCTATCTGTCTATCTGTCTATCTGTCTATCTGTCTATCTGTCTATATATATATATATATATCTAACTAACTAACCTTGGTTGGTGTTATTATTGTTGTCTGTGTCGTACTTATATTGGCTATCATTAATATACTAGTAGTGGGTATATCTTCGGCAACGATACCATTAACTATCGGACAATTGAATAGCAATCGATTCGGCAGCCAATCGGTACAATTGTTTTCGTCCGGCAAATAGTGTCGGCGACAATGGGTTCGCGTACGAAACAAATAGAGCAAATATTTATTGGAACCGTTAGGATAGACAAACCCGGCGGTCAGGTCAGGCGGAAATGATTCGTTAAAACCGTTTACATATCCGTTAGTATTACCAACAGGTCGTATAACTGCATGGGAAGTGTCAAAATAGTAAACCCGATTTGTTGTAAACAGTTTAATCCGTGAGTGGCCAACGGTATCGTACAAATGGTTGTCATCGTAACCAAAACTATAGCCACTATCGGGTGTCCACTGCCATTCGTCGCCGTCGGGTCGGGTCGATCTACTTGTACCGTCTGGCCAGTATGTCCAGTAGCGTTTGTCGCGAAACAAATAGGTAACACCTTTGTTCGGACCGTTATTTATGGTAATAATTGTCGTATTATCGGTAACGGGACCCATAAACGGCCACCAGACACGATAGGGACCTTTGGGCGATACCTGTTTGTTTGGCAAACCATAGATATCCCAGAAATACCAGTCCCTATAGATCCGTACGGTATTGTTCGGCAATCGATGGGCTGCGTGTATGTATGTGTCCTCACACAGTGGTGTTGTTGGCAAATGATTGGACTCATCGTTAGTTTTATGGACAGATTCGCCTGTTGTTATTGTTGTCACATCCGTATTGATGATTGTAATGATCAACACTATCATCCATAGGTGAATAATCAGTGTCCACTTCATAGACATCAAACGGTTGCTGTTTATATATATGTATATAAGTATAAGATATCAATATATGTTGCTATATAATAAAGACAACTTTCCTTTTGTTTATCTGCCGGGTATTGTATAGTATAGCTGCCACTTGTTGTTCACGCGATTAATATTTAATACAATTTTAAAGATAAATATATGAATGTCTCGTGAATTACTATTAATTTTATTGTAAATTAGAGAATATTTTCTTTGTTAAGTTTTTCTTGAAAGTTATGTTTCTTTTGAAAGCTATGACTTAAATTTAGTGAACAAAATGATTAATCTAAAGACATTATTTAGACTAATACTTGTCTCACAGGAGACAATGATTAACTGGTGTATAACAATGGGTTTATTATTAGCAACTAAAAAGTGTCCCATTTGTGACAACGAAATGGTAAATAATTAATTTGCAAAAAAATACATTAAAAAATTATTTTCGTAGAAGATAATTGTCAAACAATTATCGTACCGGTGCCACCAAAAGCATGGACAACCTCATGATTATAGACTAAGTGCTTTGAATAATACGTGGTTTTCTGGATCAAAGTTTAGCATTGAAAACATAATAATCTTGACGTACCTGTTTTCGGTCGGCACAACAAAATATGAGGACATTAAACGAGAAACAAGTGATTTAACTAAAACAACATCTCATAACACTATAAGTGATTGGCTTAACTTTTGTCGAGAAGTGGTATTTGATTGGGTCGAAAAATATCAATCAGTTGATCTCTTAGGAGGAGAAGGTAGTATATGATACATATTTAATTATGCACGTTACCTAAACCTAATTATAATGGTAATACCAAACTGATAGTGTATTAGTGTTTGCTATGTTACCTAACCTGGAGTTCCGACCGCAACCTAAACCTAATTATAATGGTAATACCAAACTGATAGTGTATTAGTGTTTGCTATGTTACCTAACCTGGAGTTCCGACCGCAACCTAAACCTAATTATAATGGTAATACCAAACTGATAGTGTATTAGTGTTTGCTCTGTTACCTAACCTGGAGTTCCGACCGCAACCTAAACCTAATTATAATGGTAATACCAAACTCATAGTGTATTAGTGTTTGCTCTGTTACCTAACCTGGAGTTCCGACCGCAACCTAAACCTAATTATAATGGAAATACCAAACTGATAGTGTATTAGTGTTTGCTCTGTTACCTAACCTGGAGTTCCGACCGCAACCTAAACCTAATTATAATGGTAATACCAAACTCATAGTGTATTAGTGTTTGCTCTGTTACCTAACCTGGAGTTCCGACCGCAACCTAAACCTAATTATAATGGTAATACCAAACTGATAGTGTATTAGTGTTTGCTCTGTTACCTAACCTGGAGTTCCGACCGCAACCTAAACCTAATTATAATGATAATATTTTGATAACTTTTAATTCAGGAGTTGTCGTAGAAATTGACGAAACAAAAGTTGGTAAAAGAAAGTACAATAGAGGTCGACTAGTTGATGGGACGTGGATTTTAGGTTTAGTTGAGATTCAAATAGGAGCTAATTGTCGACGTGGAGGTAGATTTCGTTTAGAAATATGTCCCCTAAATAAAAGAGATGCCGACACTCTTTTACCTTTGATACGTAAGCATGTAAAAATTGGGACAACTATTGTGTCTGACTGTTGGGCTGGATATTATAGACTAACAGACAATGGTATAAATGATAGATAAAACATATTATTAAGTTAATTAATTTTTTAATTTTTAGGTTTTGTCCATTTTACTGTGAATCATTCGAAAGAGTTTGTCAATTCACATACCGGTGCAAACACACAGACCATTGAATCTCAATGGAGAGCTATGAAACGCAATCTTTTAAGAGGGGGTATACCACAAGATAACCTTTATCTACATTTAGCCGAATATCTTTGGCGCCGACACGTACTTCACAACAATTTAGATAATTTTATTTTTTTTATTGATTGTATAAAACAATTATACAACCCTTTAATGTAATTTTAATTACAGTATATACAGGTATATATATATTAATTTGCAATGTAAAATATTATTTCATAATAATATATTTATATTTAATAAAATCTATTGTAATTAACGCGATATTTGTATATTTAACTTTAAAATTGTATTAAATATTAATCGCGTGAACAACAAGTGGCAGCTATACTATACAACAGCCTATCTGCCAATCCAATAGTAGTAGACAACAGCAATGATTAGAATAACCAATACTATTAAGATAACTATTAGTATAACTGTAATCAACCAATTGGTGTCAAATAGTAGTAATAAGTGTTATAATAATAGTAATAATAATATTATTTGGATTAAATGCATTTTACAAGGACTCACTAATTTTGCATTAAATACGTTATATTAATTAATTTAATCAAATAAATTAAATTAGATATATATTACACGTGCGTATTGTTGAAAATTACTAAATCATTGTTTGTCGCGTTACCTAACCTGGAGTTCGCATCGCAATCTAACCTAATATTATATGATATTAATACAACGTATTTAATGCAAAATTAGTGAGTCCTTATAAAATGCATTTATACCTATTATTTATTAACAGTAGTAATTAATTTGTTATAAATATAATTTAAATTAACTTTTAATTATATAAAAATAATTCACGCGTTTTAATTAGAATATAATATAATTATAAAATTTTGTTATATATTGAAATTATTTTTCTATAATTTGTTTTTTTATTGTAAATTAATTCAACTACTTGTTTGGTAAATATTAGTCGACAATAAAAGTCGTTAATTGTTTTATTGGTATTTTTAATTTAATAATAAAAATAAAATATTCATAATTAATATATATTTATATATATATAGTATTATAACAATACTAATCTATAGCAATGATGTCGTTGTTGTTGTTATTGTTGGAGATGTCGACGACAATTATCTCATCGATGGTCGACAACAACAATGAGACCAAAGATTTTTGTGAAAATACAAGAAAAATGACTATAAAATTGATTTTGCCTTTCGGTCGGACAGAACAGTCGATGATAACTGGATTCATAAATATTTCATAATCGGTAACAACTGTTGGGAGTTGACCTACAATGACGTTACAGACGACAGCAAATCGGTTACCATTAATACTGTCAGCAGAAGTAATGGCAATGATATCGTCGATATTAACTGGTTTTTCGGTAATAGTTATACATCAATGGCCTGGACTTTCTTTATCGGGACAGACATATATGTCGGTGTTTTGCAGGTATACAACAAACCATTTCGATAGACTTATTAGATTCGGATTTAGATAGAATTAGTTTCATTATTATTATAAAAATACTAATTATTATTATTTAGAAAAATATGAAAACCATTAATTGCAAAGTTTATACAATACAACCCATAATGACAAATACAACAATAGATTTTGATTATAATTTTAAGCCAATGTTTGTGTGGAATTCAAAATATTTATATATTATAAACTTTATATATGCGGTTAGCCTGTACTGAGATATCGATAATTTTTGTTTTTTTAGGTAAAACCTTATGAATTAGTAGATTAAACCCTTTAAAGCCAAATTAGTGGCCACAATATCGTGACCTATCTTGTCAGTACCGCATACCTATTTGTTTTCTACTGTATAAGATTGATCCCAATCGGTGATCAACTTCTGGTCAAAATTACCGAAATACTGTTTTAACCATACATTACTAATACATACAGTTTACTTCTCTGTTGTAATTACGGTTCGGGCCATTTTGACCCGAAGACATGCTTGTAGACAATAATGTTCAATAGACAACTTGTTGGCCATTCAAATACAGTCTATAATATGTTAGTCTGATAGTTGTCCGATGTCCGATACCCGAGTTATAACGGCCCGAAGGATAATCTTCGGGAGCTTCTGGCCGGTTAACGGGTCAAAGGCCTGAAATTATTTTTCAATATGAGGATCATATATTGATGACCAACAATGAGTTTGTGACAAACTTTCCCGCCGGTTAACCATTGGCCACTTATTTAACATAAATTACTTCTATTTCTTTGATGGTATTATAACCGAGTGTTTCACAGATAGTGTAATCACGGGACGGCCATTTTGCGCAGAAGGCATGTTTGTGGACAATAATATCCAATAGACAACTTGTTGGCCATTCAAACTGTCCATAATATGGTGGTCTGGATGTAGTCCGATGTCCATTACCCGAGCTATCCCCGACCGACGGCACCATTTTTTGCCATTCACGGGACAGGCCAGTTTAACCCGAAGACTTTATTGTAGACAATTATGAGCAATATATTAATTGTCCGCCATATCAATACAGACTATAATATGTTTGTCCGATAGTTGTCCAATGTCCGCTAACCGAGTTATAACGTCCCGATTTATTATCATTGGGAACTTCTGGCCGGTTATCGGGTCCAAGGCCTGATATTATTTTACAATATAAGGATCATATAGGATGCCTAACAATATGCTTGTGACATACTTTCCCGCCGGTCAACTGTTAGTTACTTATCGGAAATAAAATACATAATTATTTACCATTTACCATCAGGTCATTTACAATTAAATCAATTATATAGTTATCTGGCCAGACATCCGACAATGTATATACAAATGCGCCTAAAATTGCTTATATATGTCGAGCGACTGTCGGGACCAACAATTGGTATCTATTGTTACGATTTGTTTCCAATAAATAGTTTTGAATTATTTCAATACTTTTATATTTGCGGTCAATTAATGTTCACTTTAGTCTCTTTTGTCTAAATAATGTTTAAACTTATATACTAATTTATACTTAATTTATAATTAATACTATTTTATAATATATTATATTTCAATATTTATTTGTATTTTAAATTAACAAAATTATTTACTAAATAATAAATGTTAATTAAAATGAAATATAATAAACATATATTTATTATTACAATATTACAGTATATTTGGATTAAATTAAAAAATAAAAATATATAAAAATAAAATATTAATTTCTAATTAATAAACTTATAATTACAATATAGATTTAAATTTTTTTATATTATATTAAGTTATATATATTTATATATAATATTTAGATAAATGAGGCTAATGTTAACATTAATTGACCGCAAATATAATAGTATTGAAATAATTCAAAACTATTTATTGGAAACAAAGCGTAACAATAGATACCAATTGTTGGCCCCGACAGTCGCTCGACATATATAAGCAATTTTAGGCGCATTTGTATATACATTGTCGGATGTCTGGCCAGATAACTGTATAATTGATTTAATGGTAAATGAGCTGATCTACTGATCCAAGTGCTCAATAAGTTTATAGATAATAGCAATGAAAACATTGAAATAAATGCAAATAGAGAAGTAATTCTACCAATAATTATGTTATTTTCAACAAATATACTTAACATTACTATTATTATACATGGAGTTGACAAAAAATATAATAAAAATGTTAGACTATTGAAAAATCTATTGCAATCCATAATCAATTTAGTAAACCTATTGTGTTCACTGATTACTATTAATAATTTTTTGGGATAAATATTTTGCCGTTTATTTGATCGATAAGTTAATAATATTTTATTAATTCTATCATTTAGTTCATTGAATATCATTTGTATTTTACTTGAATAGCAATACCAAGGTATAAATGTTAAAATAACCTTTAAATACAATTATTATACTTAATAATAGATTAATAATTAGTGTTATTAGCCATCGATAGATACTGGTATCAAAATCAGTTACCAGTGCCCAGTAATACAAATAAATATAGACAGTACTGCATAACAAAAAAGTTATATACGACACATATGTTAGATATATATAAATTAGATTTAATTTCAATGAAAATCGTTTCAATTGTTTCGGTTGTATTGAATGTTGAAATGTTTGACTATTGATTTGCGATAACATATCCCAGTAATACAGTGTATGTTTGTATTCATGATAACTATATAAACAAAATCCTTAATATATATTAAAATAGATTGTTTATTCAATTTTGACTGAAATAACCATCTGGTTATTTCAGCCAAAATTAACTTATGATAAACATCGCATACCATTCCGATAAGGAATGGTATGTGAAATATAAATAAGAAATAGGCATCACATCCAATAGGATGTGATGCTGATAGGCGACTAAAAGTCGCACCCAACCCTACTAGACATTGACAAAACTAGTTGTCAATGCCATCAGAGAGCAGAGTGCGAAAAAGACTATGTATTAATAGAGTTGAAAATAATTGAAAATAAAGTAAAGAAAGAAAAGTATATGAAAAGTAATGAAATAATTTATAAGATAGTGATTGAAATAATAATAAGTGATAAAATAAAAGTAATATAAGAAACAGTGAAAAGGGAGGAAAGAGGACAACACTCGGGAGGACAACACACACTCGGGAGGACAACACACACTCGGGAGGACAACACACACTCGGGAGGAGGACAACACACTCGGGAGGACAACACACTCGGGAGGACAACACACACACCCACACACTCACAACAACACACTCGGGAGGACAACACACACTCGGAGGACAACACACACTCGGAGGACGACACACACTCGGAGGACAACACACACTCGGAGGACGACACACACACCCACACACTCACAACACACACACTCGGAGGACAACACACACACCCACACACTCACAACACACACACTCGGAGGACAACACACACACCCACACACTCACAACAACACACTCGGGAGGACAACACACACTCGGAGGACAACACACACTCGGAGGACAACACACACTCGAAGGACGACACACACACCCACACACTCACAACACACACACTCGGGAGGACAACACACACTCGGAGGACGACACACACTCGGAGGACAACACACACACCCACACACTCACAACACACACACTCGGAGGACAACACACACTAGGAGGACGACACACACTCGGAGGACAACACACACACCCACACACTCACAACACACACTCAGGAGGACACACATTCACT